TCATGATCTCATGTTTCATGAGTTTGAGCCTTGAATCTGCACTAACAGAGCAGAGCCTGCTTGGGATTCTCTCTTTCCTTCTCGCTCTGCCCCTCCCCCACTCATGCTGTCTCTCTCTCTCCCTTTCTCTCTCAAATAAACTTTTAAAAAAAAAAGTACAACAGACTTTTGTGTATTGATGTTGTATCTTGTTCCTTTATTAGATTTATAAGTTCTGACAGGTTGATGGAGTCTTTAGGGTTTTTTGTATATAATATCACGTTCTCTGCAAATAGTCACAGTTTTACTTCTTCCAATCTTTTTTTTTTTCAAAATTGAAAAATTTATTCTCTCACCATATTCACAGAACAAAAGATTTATAACTTGTTTAATATGATAGATTTATGTACTTTTTCCTTTCCAATTCAGATGCCTTTTATTTCTTTTTCTTAACTAATTGCTCTGACTACAGCTCTCAGTGCTGTTGAATAAAAGTGGCAAGAGTGGACATCCTAGCCTTTACCTGATCTTAGAGGAAAAGCTTTCACCAGTGAGTATGATGTTAGCTGTGGGCCTCTATTATGTGGAGGCACGTTCCCTTTATGCTTTGTTGAGAGTTTGTTGAGAGTCCATCATAAATGGATGTTGAATTTTGTCAAATGCTTTTTCTGCATCTATTGAGGTGATACCATTTTTATCCTTCATTGTGGACATTGAACCATCCTTGCATCCGTGTAATAAATCCTACTTGATTGTGGTGTATGATCCTTTTAATGTTTTATTGAATTTTGTTTGCTAAGATTTTGTTGAGGATTTTTGCATCTATGTTCATCAGGGATGTTGGCGTATAATTTTCTTTTCTTGGGGCATCTTCGGTTTTGGTATCAGAGTAATGGTGGCTTTGCCAAATAAGTTTGGAAGAATTCTCTCTTCTGTCTTTTGGAAGAGTTTGAGAAAGATTGGTCCCTTAATTCTTTGTTGACTGTTTGGTAGAACTCACCAGTGAAGCTGTCTCGTCCTAGATTTTTGTTTGTTGAGAGGTTTTTGATTACTGATTCAGCCACCTAGAAATTGGTCTGTTCAGATTTTCTGTTTTATCATGATTCAGTCTCCTATTTCTAGGAGTTTATCCATTTCATCTATGTTGTCCAGGAAAGATACAAGAGATCGTATCCTTACTTACTGTTTATGTTAAACAGTTATGTTTCATCTATGTTAAACTTACTGTTTATGTACTGAGTATACACATGAAAGGGTGAGATGTTTCTGCTCCCTAAGAGTTAATTCTCTCTCCCTTCGGGGACAATATGGTCCCTGTTGAGAAAGCATGATTTAGGGCCTTATAGGAATTTGTGTACGCCAGGGCGTATTTGAACTCAGAGTTTTTCAAGACACTAGCTCTGTAAAGTCCACACCCAGGGTTCCACCTCGGTGTCTACTAGGCACCTTCAGCTAAATCCCTAATCCCTTCTCTGCTGTCACCCTGGCCCAAGCCCGCACCATCGCCCCCCGCGTCTGTTGCGGTGGCCCTCCAGGTCACAGGTGCCCTACAGAAGAGGATGAAGGACAGGAGAGGGGAGGGGGTGCTGGCGGTTGTCCCAGTGGGCTCTATGAACCAGAGGGAGGCAGGGAGAGCCATGGAGGAGCTGGACCTTCTCCCAGAACTCCAGCCCCCGCCGGTGTCACTGTGGGAATACAGGGGGCATAAACACCAGTTCCTGGTGAGGCCTGTGCCCCTGGCCCTTCCTGCCACACCTGCCTCATTTCCTCCCCGTGCAAGTCTCCATCAAGCACTGACCTCGTCGTCATCTTAGCGCCCAGATATGGCATCCTTCCTCATCAGAGGCAGACGCTGGGCTCTGTTCTTCCGGCAAACGCTGCTGGGGGCTACTCCTCTGAGTTCAGGCACAAGTAGGATGCAAACTGGTGGGTGAGGGAGCCCAAGCACAGACCCCCATGTCACCTCCGCACTGAGCTCAGCCTTCAGCCCAGAGTTCAGGCGAGGGGTTCCCCGGGGCCTCCCCCACCGTCCTTTCTCAGGGCCTCCTGTCCTCAAAGCGTTTGCCCTCTGTGCAGTCAGATGCTTTGTGATCATCCTGTTATGGTCCGTCTCGCCCACCAGGCTACAGGCCTTCTGTGGACAGACGCGTATCTGCGTGGCCTGCCGCGCTCTCCCCCCCCCCCAGCCCGGCAGCCACCAAACCATAGGAACTCAATAAATATTTGTGGAAAAACAGGTGAATGTGAGATCCAGGGTGTGGAGCTCAGAGGAAGGAAGTACTCATCAGGGGCAGCCTCTCAGCAAAGGAGAGCGGGAGGGTGTGCATGTTTGAGGGACGGTTCTGTCTGGCTGGGGATAATGCGGGGGAAGATGGGCAGTGGCCTTGGGGCCTGGTTCTGTCATCGGCCAGAGCACACAGAGCACACTCCCTCATCACTGACTCTGGCATTTCAGGGTCATAGCCAGAGCCACATATGGAGAGTGAGAGCTGCTTTCAGGCTCTGGCAAGCAATGATGATTCTTGTGCTTTCCCTTCTAACAGCCCAGCTGCGGGAGGCACTGTCATAGAAACAAAGCTTCTGGCAGGGGGGGAAGCGTGGAAACTCCCCTTTTGCTTTCCCTGAAGTTCCGCTTCCTGAGTCTGAGGAGCAGGGAGAGGTCCAGCTCTCCCCCTGTCTGCCCTCCCCTTCGGAAGCCTCCCCTCGTGCTCTGGAAGGGAGTATGGGACACGCAGGCACTTCCAGGCTTCAGCAGCACGGCAGGCTGTGGTTTCCAGGGCTGGACCCTCAGGCCCCTGGACCACTCTCTCTCTTGGGGTTCTCCTGTCTCTGCATCTCCCTTCAGATGAGCCCAGGCTGGTCCCATGCCCTCTTCAGGGGCGTCACCCTGACTTCAGCAAGATGGGGGTTGATGCTCTCTGGCCAGAGAAAACTGCAGTATTAGTTATGGTAAGAATTTGGGGGAGGGCAGGTGGGCTCTTCCGACAAGGGCTGGGAGAGCTAAAGTGACCCATGCTGAAAGTCAGGTCAAGAGGTGACTCATGCCCCCTGCACCGCAGGCCACCCCAAATGGATTGGTTTTCTCTAGATAGCATGGCCTTGTGTGCCTCGTGTTTCCCCAAACACTCCAACTCCATCCAAACCCAAGGCTCTTTCCCCTCATTTCTACTTAGTGAATAACTTCTTGCCTTTAAAAGAACCAGCTGTGGGGGAGGGGGCGCCTGGGTAGTGCAGTCAGTTAAGTGTCTGACTCTTGACCTCAACTCAGGTCATGATCTCGTGGTTCCTGAGTTTAAGCCCCTCATCGGGCTCTGCGCTGATAACAAAGAACCTGCTTGGGATTCTGTCTCTCCTTCTCTCTGATCCTCCCCCATGAGTACTCTCTCTCTCAAAATAAATCAAGAAACTTTAAAATTTTTTTAAAAGAACCAGCCCGGAAAGCCTACCTGGCTCAGTCCATGGAGCATACAAAACACCTGATCTAGGGGTTGTAAGTTCGAGCCCCATGGTGCACATAGAGCCTACTAAAAAAAATATTTTTAATAAGAAATAAATAAAAGAACCAGCTTAGAGCTAGAGTCCCCTGCCCCACCTCACCCCACCAAAGGGTATGAATTTTCTCAGGGCTCCACAGCCATTTGTGTTAAAGTACCTCGGTGTCTCCCGGTCATTTCTTTGCTTGGCTATTGTGAACTCCCTGGAGGCAGAGACTATGTGGGTCTTATTCATGTCTGTAAAACTCAGAGCTCAGCCCAATGCCTGGCACTCGATAGGTGCTCCATGTTAGGGCCTTCATGAAAGAACACTCCAGAGAAGCCCCATCAGAAAGATGGCCTCTGGGAGAGGCCTTGAAGGCTATAGGATTTTGACAGTGTCCCAAACAGGAGGGCTGGGGGAACTTTTTGTTCATGTGTTTTCTTGTCTGTTATCTGTGTCCTCGTACTAGAAAAGAAGCTCCATGGGGACAGGGGCATTGTCTTTTGCGTCCCCAAAACTTGTGCAGTGCGTAGCACAGAGTAAGCATCTAGTATCTATTTAGTGGATGAATGGATAAGGTTCTGCCAGAAAAGTCTTCATGGAGGAGGTGGGGTTTGAGAGAGTCTTTGAAAGAAGCAAAAGAAGGAATTTCTGGGTCCAGGAGAAGTGAATTGGAAATGAGGAAAGGTGACCAGAGCAGTGAGGAAGGGGTTTCCCAGGGAGGCAGCAAGGTGGACAGACAGGCGTTATCTGGACCTGGGTCTGAGGTGAAGGCTCAGGCATAGGAGCCCCGGCACACAGTAGGTCCTTTATGACCTGAACAGAAGGACCTGTCACCTTCACTGGGTATAGGCAGTGCCCTGCTCTGTGCTGGTGGTGCACGTATAGGAGTGTGGCCCTCAGCGGGCGGCCCCTGGACTCAGACACCGCGGACAGGGCGAAGGGGACCCAGGTCTCCCAGGCGTCCCGGTGCAAGGATGGAGATGCTCACTGCTGAGTTAGGAAGAGAAATGGCAAAAGCACTCTGCGTGAACTGTAAGTCCAATGAACAAGCCGGGACCCTCAGGGGAGGAAGGGAGAAGGAAACTCCTGGGGAATGAGGCCTTGAAGCTTCCATTCAGCTCCAGGCTTTATCACAGGATAGGCCATCTGGGCTCAGAAAACCAAGACAGGCCTCTGTCCCGCACACCAGGCAGAGGTGTCTGGGCCACACATTAGCCAGCAGGAAAAGCGGGGTGTCCTGCTAGGTGGCCTGTGCTGCCAACCGAGGGGCATGTCTATGCACCTGGCTGGCAGACAGGGAGAAACATGGTATATTCTTCTTATTTGCACTCAGCAAAAATTAGGAAGCACCTCATTTTCCCAGGATCTGCCCAGGGGCAGCTGTAAACCCGCTGTGGCTGAGTTGTTGTGGCTGCCCTGACAGGGAGAAGTCCTAGGTCTCTCTATGGCTGAGAACACCAAGGCTCTGAGAGGGACTTCCTCAGGGCTACCCACTGAGCAACTAGGGGCATGTTGCCAACTGCTATCTCTTGTCATTCCAGAAAATTCCACAGCCAGTGTGAGTGAGGCAGAAAGAAAGGCCCAGGTATACTACCGTGCATGTATGAATGAAACCAGGATTGAGGAGCTCAAGGCCAAGCCCCTGATGGAGCTGATTGAGAAGGTGAGTTCTTGGAGCAGGTTTTCGTGGATCTCCTCCAGCCTGAGCCCCCTGCCCCCCTCTGGCTGCAACCCCCGCTCTCAGGTACCACTGAGGCCCGGCTACCTCACACCTCCAACCACCTCACCCAGCTGACTGTAGAGCCTGCCGGGGCTGAGCGTGTCGGAGTGTATGTGTGTGCGCGCGCGCGTGCGCGTGCTCATGCGTCTCTGTGGGTGGGAATATCCGTCTTTGTGTCGGGGTATGTGTCAGCTCCTGTTGTGCATGTTTGCCACACGTATGTGTGTCTCTCTGTGCATCTGTGTGTGGGATGGAGGCCGTATTTATAGAAAAAATGTTTCTCTACCTTGTTGCTTCCTTTTCCTCAGAGGGTGTGTTGTGTGAGGAGGGGTATGTTCCAGAAGGACCGACTGAAAGTCTCAGATCTGAAGCAGAACCCCTGCCCCAGGGCACTTGGGTGGCTCAGTTAGTTGGCTGTCTGACTCTTGATTTCTGCTCAGGTCATGATCCCAGGTAGTGGGATCAAGCCCTGTGTTGGCTCCACGCTAAGGGGCCTGCCTGACACCCACAGAGGGTGGCCATGGATGTGTTCTAGCTGCCCCATGCTCCCTCAGGGCTCTGCCTCCTGGTTTGGCTCTGAAAAGGCATTGTGGGGTGGTGGGAGGCTGTGGACACCAGAGACCGGACAGTCCTGCCCTCCGGCGCTGGCCCCACATGCCAGTGTGGGCCAAACCAGAGACAGGGAGGAAATGACAGAATCCCAGCTCTGGGGCACCTGGCTGGCTCAGTAGGCAGAGCATGTGACTCTTGATCTCAGGGTTGTGAGTTTGAGCCCTGAGTTGGGTATGGAGCCTACTTGGAAAATAAAAAAAAAACCTCCCAGGGGCACCTGGGTGGCTCCATCGGTTAAGCATCTGACTTCGGCTCAGGTCATGATCTCGTAGTTTGTAAGTTCGAGCCCCACCTCGAGCTCTGTGCTGACAGCGTGGAGCCTGTCTGGGATTCTCTCTCTCATGCTCTTTCTCTCAAAGTAAATAAACAAATAAACTTAAAAAAAAAAAAAAAAAAAGAGTCCCAGCTCTGAGAGAAACTAGAAACTGTGGCTTTATCAACTTTTTAAAAAATAGGGAGCCTTTTTTTCCCGCATAGGCACAATTGAATTTTGTGCACAAGTGAATCCCCATGATTCAGTATCCAGCGAGCGGACAGGGCGCGGGAGAAGCCTCCTTTCCACCTGCTTCCCCGAGAGAGCAGCTGCCGCGTGGACTCACGGCTTGCTTGTTTAGGGTACATCTCGCTCCATCCCGAGTCTCCTGTTCGCTGAGCAGACAGTCTGATCAAGACCATCCCTTTCGTTTGCTCCCGAGGCTCAGAGAGGTCAGGTGACTGTTCCAGGGTCACAGAGCAAGGAGCAGAATTCCCACCCGGGCCTCCTTGCCACCCCGTCACCTCCCCGTTCCCTCTCCCTGCAGCTAGGGGGCTGGAACATCACAGGTCCCTGGGACAAGGACAACTTCCAGGACACCCTGCAGATGGTCACCTCTCACTACCGCACGTCTCCCTTCTTCTCTGTCTACGTCAGTGCCGACTCCAAGAATTCTAACAGCAACGTGATCCAGGTGAGCTGGCCTGCGTCCCCAGGAAGGCGAGTGGGCATGTTTTGAATTTAACCTGTTTTGAGTTTTGCAAACGCCAGAGTCGGGGCAGACTTGCCCGTGGCGACAAGCTTCTGGTTTCTGAGCCTGCATTATTTCTGGAGCCCCTGAAACATGAGATTTTTGTAGACAAGTCCAGAGAGAGCAGGCTGCTGCCGCGGGTGGGTGGGGTCACTGCAGCACAGATGGGTCCCTGGGATTCTGATCGGTCACCGTGGGCCCCCAGAGTGTGCCAACCCCTAGATACAGCTAAAGCCACCTTCAAGTCCCTCCACGTCAGCCCCCGGCCTTTGTGGCTGTGCTTGGAATGGCTGGGAGCCCTCTCTTCCTGCCGGCGCCTGCCCTAGACTTTGTATCCACATCCCCAGGGAAGCCCCAGCACTGACCTGCCCACCCTCAGATGCGGAAGCCAGGAGCCCAGGCGGGAGGCCACGAAGGCCCAGTTCCCATCCAGTTCTGCCTCTCACTCGGCATGTGACCTCGGGCAAGGGCCTCAATCTCTCCGAGCTGCAATTTCCTTCTCAATCAAACGAATTATAATAACACCTACTCTAGGCTCTGATAGTCGCTGTCAGGAACTGATCCTCCCCTACCTGTCAGACCCTCTCATCCTCCCCTGTACCTCATTCCAGCTCTGAGGGTTAGGTACTATTTCCCCTATTTTCCAGACGAAGAGCCTGAAGATCAGAAAGGTTCAGTGACTTGACTAAGGCTACAGGGGTCGTGAGTGGCTCTTAACCACTGCACCGTCTTGGGAGGTATTTAATTAAGTGGAAGTGCCGTGCCAAGCCTAGGAAGGATTTAGAGAGGAGGGGGGCTCTGGCCCTTCAGAAGGGCCCAGAATCCCCATGTATGGGCAGGTATGCATCCAGTCATGAGTCTGTTCCCACACTGGGTGGGCCCACCCCAGAGGGGGCCTCCCCCACCAGCTCCCACCCCTGCTGGGACCCAGGCTGGCCCTGTGTTGCCGTGTGCCAGCTGCCCCCACAGCGGGCGGTGTGCGCGTGTGACAGGAGACCCCCTCTCGCCCCTGCCCTTCTCTCCAGGTGGACCAGTCTGGCCTGGGCTTACCCTCAAGGGACTACTACCTGAACAAAACTGAAAACGAGAAGGTGAGTGTGCTTCCTCAGAGAGACTGGCTCCCAGCCCACACCCCGTGACGTTTTACCCTCTCGGTGTCCCCTCAGCGTCACACCTCTGCGGGTCTTTGAAGCTGGAGTTGCACAAAGGTGTCACTTATCTGACGGGTGATCGGCAGTCCCTGGCAGGGGAGGGACCCCCACCCCCAGACTGTTTTCAGTCTACAGGTCTTTTGTCCCCCTTGTAGAGCCAGACGGCGGTAATGGCCGCTGCCGTCTGTGGGTGCTAAGCCTCTGGCCCTCCCAGCAAGCCCGCAGATACAGAACATCTCTGACCTTCGTTCACCTTTCTGCCTTATGGGTATTATTTCTACCTTGCCTTTTATAGAGGAGAGAGCAAGGCTCAGAGATGCTAAGTGACCCACTCAAGGTCACACAGGGGTGAGGCTGAGATTCACATCCAGATCCGCTAACTCCAAAACCCATGCCTCTCATGATGACCCGGGGAAACCTCGTCTGTGGTTCATCGTCTCTCTGTTCATCCCACCCACCTGTCCTGGCCACTTGTCCAAGTGCCCGATGCTGGGGGGAGAGTGGGGACTGAGAAGGTCATGGTCCCCGCAGGGGAGGCAGACATTAATGAACTAACCACCCAGTTGGAGGCATAATGACGAATCATGATAGCTCAAGGGTGAGCTGAGAAAGTTGCACACGGGGACCTACTTCCGATCTGGGGACACGGTAGAGGAGGGCAGCTCAGAAAAAGTGTATTGTAAGAACTGCAAGATGGTCTGTGGGCAGCTTTCCCGTGATGGGCACCTGAGCGGGAGTGTGGGCGAGGACAGCAGGAACCCCCGCATGCCCATCCACGCAAGCACCTGAGGGCTCTGTCCTGAGGTCTCTGGGCAGCCAGTCTGCGGGCTTCCCCGCGCTGGGCTGGCCCTGCCCCACCCGCCGCACTGACAGATTGTGGGTGCCGGGCCCGCAGGTGCTGACGGGATACCTGAACTACATGGTCCAGCTGGGGAAGCTGCTGGGTGGAGGGGACGAGGCTGCCATCCGGCCCCAGATGCAACAGATCCTGGACTTTGAGACGGCGCTGGCCAACATCACCATTCCCCAGGAGAAGCGCCGGGATGAGGAGCTCATCTACCATAAGGTGACAGCTGCCGAATTGCAGGTAATGTGAGCTCCGGTTGACGTGGAGCCGGGGACAAGCACGGGGCTTCTGGACGTAGGGGGCTGGGCTGGGGCCTTTATACCCACTTCATCAGGTCCCCAGAACACCCCTAAGAAGCAGGGATGGTTGTCACCCCAGTTCACAGATGGGAAAACTGAGTCTCAGAGAGGCTATGTTACTTGCTGAAGGCCACATAGCTTTTCTTTTTTATATATACATTTTTTTTAATGTTTTATTTATTTCTAGGAGAGAGAGAGAGAGAGAGAGCGTGAGCAGGGGAGGGTCAGAGAGAGAGGGAGTCACAGACTGAAACAGGCTCCAGGCTCTGAGCTGGCAGTCAGCACAGAGCCCGACGTGGGGCTCGAACCCGCGAACCGCGAGATCATGACCTAAGCGAAAGTCGGACGCTTAACCGACTAAGCCACCCAGGCGCCCCATATATATACATTTTTTTTAATGTTTATTTAATTTTGAGAGAGAGAGACAGAGTGTGAACAGGGGAAGGGCAGAGAGAGAGGGAGACAGAGAATCTGAAGCAGGCTCCAGGCTTCGAGCTGTCAGCACAGAGCCTGACACAGGGCTCAAACTCACGGACTTCAAGATCATGACCTGAGCCGAAGTCTGTCACCAAACGGACTGAGCCACCCAGGCCGCATGGCTTTTCTATAACAACAGCATTTAGCTGGGGGAGGCTCTGTGGTCATGACAATAATAGCTCACACTGACTGGGCTTTTCCATGCTCAAGCCCCAGTCACATCGAGCCTGGTGTATATACAGCAACCAGTAGAGAGGAGGGTCCTGTGGTCACGTCTCCCTTTTCCAAGACAGGAGGTTAAGTGACATGTTCAAGGCCCTGAGGCTCCCTAAGTGTCAGAGGAGCTGGACATTGGACTCGGGCTTGGCTCATGGGATCTCTGTTCTTGACCCTGACCCCTAGCAACCTCCTGGAGGTGAAAGGGGATTTCTCTCTGTCACTGGGTGTAACCCATCTGTGATGCCAGCGGCCCCTCTGCTGAAGGCTGCCCCCTGGTGGCTCCTTGGGGCTTGCAGGTGGTGAGCCGACTGCCAGTTCCGTCTTTCCAGTTCACCGTGTGTCGGTGTCTGGCCTTATCCCGGGTCCCCAGGGTCACAGAGGAAACCAGCAGGGTGGCCTCGGCCAATCTTCCTGTTTGCTGCCATTGCCTAGGAATGCTCAGTGAGGCTGCTTCTCCGCTGGGGAGGGTGACTAGGCCACTTGTGTTGGGGTTCCACCAAGATGTCTCCTCCCTCCTTCTCTCCCTTGACCCGCCAGGTCCCGCCCCTGCATCAGAGTTGGCTCACTTGCTCTCCTTTCAGAAAGAACACCTCGGTCCCTCCTCTCTTCCACCCTCCATTCCTCGCTCTGACAGGTATAGAGCCACCCTCAGGGCCTTGCTCTGGAGGAACACCAAGCAGGAAGCAGTCCCAGACTCACTGCTGAGTGCTTTGGGCGAAAGAAGGAGGGCACTAGGACCAGGGTGGCTGATAGGGTGTCCCAGGTGGAGATACGGCCCAGGCAAAGCTGGGGCTGAGGGCGAGAGAGCCTCTTCTGGGTGCCAGCTGCCCTTCAGGTCCCTGGAGGAGCCGGCATCAGGGTGAGCGGTGTGCGTGGGTTGTTACGGAGATCAGCAGCATCTGTTGGGAACCATCTGGCACTGTGTTTCTGCGCTGGAGCCCGGAGGTCAAAGGCGATGCTGGCTGCGCAGTGTAACTTGGTTTGCTCCAGCTGTCCACTTCTCAGGGCGGGAAGGGCCCCCGCAGCGCCCAGCCCCCACAGTGGCCATGATGCCAACCGACTACCCCCAGGGTGGCAGAGAAGATACAGCAGCCCTGAGCACGTCCGCCCCAGTGTGGCTTCCGGGCTCTACCCAGGGTGCCTCATCACATTGCTTTTGCTCTGTTCTTTCGAGCAAGTCATAAAAATCTTTTCTTCTCCCACCTGCTGCAGAGCCCCCAAGGTGGGGCAGGATTTTAGCAGAGGTAGGGCCCTGGGCTTAGAGTCAGAAGACTGCTCTGGCCCAGCCCCACTATGAGCTGTGTGACCTTGGTCAAGTCTCAAGCCCCCCTATTTGTTTCCTTCTTGTAAAATGGGGCTTCACTCACTCATTCATACCTGCCCTTCCAAAACACAAGAGACAGACGAGAGGCAGCCCCTGGCCCCATAAGGCACACCAGTTCTTTAGTCACAGAGTTCTCTGAGAACAAGTTGAAAACTAGGGAGTGTCTCTCAGAGGCACAGGGCATATGTGCATATTAAAAAATTATGTCTAGGGGCACCTCAGTGGCTCAGTCGGTTAAGCGTCCGACTTCGTCTGAGATCATGATCTCATAGTTCGTGGGTTCAAGCCCCACATCAGGCTCTGTGCTGACTGCCAGCTCAGAGCCTGGAGCTTGTTTCGGATTCTGTGTCTCCCTCTCTCTGTGACCCTCCCCTCCTCATGCTGTCTCTATCTCTCTCTCTCTCAAAAATAAATAAAACATTAAAAAAATTATGTCTAGACCTTGAGGGTATTATGCTGAGCGAAATAAGTCAGGCAGAGAAGGACAAATATCATATGTTTGCACGTATAGGAGGATTAGGAAGAACTTGACGGAGGAACAAGGGGGAGAAGAAGGGCGGAAATGGAGGGGGAAAGGGAGAGAGGCAAACCATGAGAGACTCTTGAATGATGACAAAAACTGAGGACTGATGGATGTGGGGGGGAAGGGGGGATGGGCATGGAGGAGGACACTTGGGATGAGCACTGGGTGTTATGTGGAAACTAATTTGACAATAAACTATTTGTAAAAAAAAAAAAAAAAATTATGTCTAGCATTTAAGGATTAAGTCCTGGACCCCTAATGCCTAGTATCCTCCAAAAGAATCTCTACCTGACCTGCCCACGGGGTTTAAGAGGGTGAGATGAGGCAAAGGACGAGATTTCATTTTGTAAGCTGATGTGCACAACTCCAATGTACTGTCTTAATCGTTATTAGCATTATTCCTTTGTTGGTGGTGATGCCAGCCCACGTCTCCAACACGAAAGCAATTTGATTCATTCCAGCCTTGGACAGAGAATTCCTTGCTGTTCCCTGGTATCTGGAAATTTGGTTTTCTTCCTGTACTCCAGGTGACTCAGGAAAAATGCTCCAGCCTTCAGAGTATGGTTCTGGGCCAGCCCCACCAGAATATGGATTGGTTCCAGGCTAGCCCCCACCAGAGTCTGAATTCAGATCCATGAATCAGACATCCTTCTGTTCCTTCTCTGGGGGCCTGAGGCCCTTCTCATTTCTTTCTAAGATCTTCCACATCAGAAGTTGTTTGAGGGGCGCCTGGGTGGCTCAGTCAGTTAAGCATCCGACTCTTGGTTTTGGCTCAGGTCATGATCTCACAGTTGCATGAATTTGAGCCCCACATCAGGCTCTGCGCTGACACCATGGAGCCTGCTTGGGATTCTCTCTCTCTCTCCCTTTCTCTGCCCCTCCCCTGCGCACTCTCTCTGTCTCTCAAAATAAATAAACTTTAAAAAATTATTTTAAAGTTGTTTGAGAATGAGCCCTATCCACTGCTCTAAATTCTCCAGCTAAAATCAAGTCCAATAGCATCTTCCTTTTCTCTCTTATTTGGCAAGCCTACTTGAGCCTACTTGGTGACCAGCAGTACTCTTTGGCTGCAGGTTTGGAAAATAGAGCTGACTGGTGTGCCCCATAGGATTTGAGTCACAAGTGGAATGTCCCAGGCAGTTAAAACAGCCGTCTCTATGGAAACAAGGCACACATGTTTAAATTAGGTATTTGCTAAAGCAAGATTGAAAATGTGAAAATTCTGGTATTCAACACAGACCTTATCTGTGGTTATGGGAATTTGCCCGCACAGAACACCTGCTCTACCTAACGAAATAGGCTTGTGTCAAATGCGTAGGGATTTATCACCACCTGATGGCTGTCCCCTGATTAGAATGTTTCAGTCGCCTGCAGTTTGTGAAGCTCTCTAAACAGTGACATTTTGTAAGCTTGGTGAATTTCCCAGGCGTCTTTGCCAGCAGGTCATGCAGGCAGGTGTCTCTACGCGTTGAGCCCTATTTGACCATCTCACCTGGTCACCTCCCCATTTCACAGCCACAGAAATGTTAAGGAGAAGCCCTAGAGGTGACCCGCCTGGGGGATTCTTGCCAGAGAGAAAGAGCGAATGGACAGGCTAGGGAGAAGGGCAACTTCTATCCCTACGAGGTACAGAGCAGCCAAGCACAGTGGGGTGGGAGAGGGTGCAGAATGTTGTCCCCATTTTATTTGTATTTGTATTTTTGTGTGTGAGGGGGGGGTTCCCATTTTAGAGAAAAGCTACAAAATGGCTCAAGGTCCCAGAACAGGTTCATGGTGAGGACTCTGATCTCCTCACTCCAAGACTCACTCAGGTCATTGTGCTGTTGGGTGGACAGGGTTGTGCTGGAGCCCACCGGGCATGCCTCTTCCCGACCCCTCGGGTAGCTTGCGGTAGGTCCTGATGCCAGTACGAATCGCCTCCCTGCCCCCCTAAGAGCCCTCTGTCCTCGGAGGTCCTTACTCCCTAGTTGCTGAACTGCCCTCTGAAACTGGAGAGACGAGTGAGCCTGGAGCTTAGATCTGCACGGTCGCTAATTAACTATGTGAGCTCAGGAAGGTCACCTTAGCTCATCTGCAAAGTCAGCATCTGTTAAGTGGAGGGTCTTGTGACTGATTTCTCACTGAGGGCATCATAGATAGTTACCAACAGGTTGTAGATTCATCTGATATTATAGATCGATTTTACATTTCACATTATTGATCGATCTTACCATGTGAAGGCCAATTGCAATGTGTCTCTCGCCGCCTTTGTCTTCAGTTTTGCCCTTTTGCAAGGGAACAGAGAACAGAATTTAAAATCCTTCAAGCCCAGGGCCGACTCTTGGGAGACCTTGAGAATGATTACAACAGCTAATATCGATTGAGTGGTGGCTAAGTACTGGATTCTAGGTGACTGACGCATATAAGCTTTTCTGCTGTATAACAACAGTCTATGTTTGCATTTTGTAAAATTACAGGGCAAAAAAGTAACTAATAATGACAAATCGTGGGAGAAATAGGGCTTAGAGAGTTCCAGGCGCCTGCAGTTTATGAAGCCCTCGTTGATTGTATAAACAATTCCAATTATATTCAAAAGTTGTGCCACTTGAAAGACATTTAGCTGAGTGAAATAAGCCAGTCACAGAGACGAGTACTGGATGTTTCCACTTAGATGAGGTAGCTAAAGCCGCCAAATTCGTAGAGACAAAAAAGTAGAATAATGGTTACTGGGGGCCCAGTAGGGAGGGAACTGGGGGGAATTATTGTTTAATAGGTACAGAATTTTGGTTTTGCAAGATGGAATCTGGTGGTGCTTAACGTCACCGAACTGTGTGCTTCAAAATGGCTAAGACGGTAAATTTTATGTTTGTGTATGTTACCACAGTTAAACCCAGAGGTTGTGCAAGTTTGTAATCAAAACAATAACAATAATTGGAACCTGGAGAGAGAGCTCGGCATGGCTGGAGCCTGCCTGGTGGGAAGTGGGGAGGGGCTGCTGTGGACACAGAGACCGTGTGGGCCACTGAGCTCTGCGCAGTGGGGCTGCCAGGGACTTACTCGAAGCCGGCTTGTGCCTCTGTGCGGAGGGAGCTCTGGCGTAGGCCCTCACTGTAAACCATCTTCTGGGCCCCTGGGTGGCTCAGTTGGTCGAGCATCTGACTCCTGATTTAGGTTCAGGTCATGATCCCAGTGATATGGGATCGAGCCCTGCGCCTGGCTCCGAGCTGAGAGTGGAGCCTACCTGGGATTCTCGTGCTCTCTCTCTCGCTCTCTCTGTCCTCTCTCTCTCTTTTCTCTCTCTCCCTCCCTCTGCCCCTCTCCCCAGCTCATGTGCACTCTCTCTCTAAAAAATAAAAATAAATAACAATAAAACATAAATGATCTTAAAACAGAGCTGACCGGCCAGCCTCCTGTGCATCAGCTGAACTGAGAGATTTTCCTTTCTTGCTGGAGGCTGTCATTCTAAGCTTAGTTTTTCAGATGCCATGCCCAAGAAAAGTCACCCGTGGACCAAAGCATTTGCACATTTTACTGCTATCCTTCTTGAATCTGCCAGTCATATACACCAGTTGCACAAAAGTAATTGGTATTATGGAAGTGCGTGTGGAGTGAAACAAACAGTATGAACCTGTTGAATCTTTACACTAACCCTATGGCATGAGTTCTGTTATGATGATGAGACCACTTTTCAGATGAGACCCTGAGGCACAGAGCGTTTCATCCACGTACTCAAGGTTACACAGCTAGTGAGCGAAGAGCTGGGGTACGAACCCAGGCAGTTTGGCTCCAGATGCAACATAGCTTTCCATCATAGGCCTGTCCGGGCTCAGTTTCTTCATCCATACAGTGGGGATAATGGCACCTCCCACCTGGGCCAGTCATGAGGCCCAGCTGAGAGAAGACGTGTGAACTGCTTGTGGCGATGCTTGGCACAGGAGGGGCTTGAGCAGCGATAGCCATTACTGTTGTCACCGTGTCCCTTGTATTCCATCCTAGCTCCCTTTCAAGTTGAAGTTGGTGTTTGGCTCCTTAGAATTCTGCCTAGAGCATCTCTGGCAAAAACCAGAGACCTCAGTTTGACATCTGCAGGGGGCACTGTGCGTGCCCAGCTCTTTGGAGGCACGGTGCCCCCTCTTCAGAAGAGCGCCCTGGAGCCTCGGACGTGGGGGAGAAACAGCCCAGCCAGAGTCACGCCGTCTCTTCCCTTCCAGGCCTTGGCGCCCGCCATCAACTGGCTGCCCTTTCTCAACACCATCTTCTACCCCGTGGAGATCAATGAGTCCGAGCCGATTGTTGTCTATGACAAGGAGTACCTGGGGCAGGTCTCCACCCTCATCAATAACACCGACAAATGGTAAGGGACGGTCAGCGGCCGGGCAGCCCTCAGGGTCACATGCTGTTGTCCGGTCTCTGGCCAGACAGGTGTGGCCAACGACTGACTGACTCTGGAGCATGGGCCCTGGGGAGAGGCAGCCTGTTCAAATCCCAGCCCCTCCACCCACGAGCTCTGTAGCCTTGGGCAAGTTTCTCACCGTTTCCTTTCTGCTCTCCCCAGCACGAAATGGGGATGGAAACAGTACCTCCCTGGTGGGGCTGTGAGAACCGAGGGAGAGTATGACTCAGGATGAGGCTCAGTCATTGTTCGCTGGTATTTGTAGTTAATATTTATGGGGTTTTTTTAATTTTAAAGATTTGTTGGAGAGGTTTTTGAAAAGCACAAAAAAAAAAAATAGAAAAAACTTAAAATTACCCAAACACTGCTGTTGATTCTATGGTGTGTGTGTGTGTGTGTGTGTGTGTGTGTGTGTGAGAGAGAGAGAGAGAGAGAGAGAGAGAGACAGAGAGAGAGAGAGAGAAAGGGTGAATTTTCTAATACATGGTTGCTTTTCCTCCATCATTGTGACCACATGTGTAATCTGCTTTTCCCTTGACCTTCATCAGGCGCATTTTCCCCATGTTATCACACACTCTCTGGGGACCTCATTCTTGATGGCTGCACAGCACTCCACCAAGCACCTACATAGTGTTATCTACTTACCCCTTCCTCTATGGTCAGACATTTAGGCTGGTTCCAGTTTGAGGCGAGATGCTCACTGTTGCAAACATCTCTTCGTGCTAAGGTGACTTCTTTGCGGAGGTGACATCAGCCACAGATGATTCTCTGTGCCCTGAGGGAGGGGGCAGTGAGCTCCTGTCATGCGGACCTTGGCGTGGCTGGCCAGAGCTTCCTTTCCTGCCCCTCCTGTTCTTAGGGCCTCTTTCCCTCCATGGCCCTCTGGCCGGGACATTTCCAAGCCGGGGACGTGGCCGCCTCCTCCCTGCTTCAGCCCAGTAGCACACACCATCCAGGGGCCTCCATGCTGCCTTTTCACCACTTCCAGACAAAAAGCAGCTATGCAACAAGCATGTATTGAGGACGTGTGATGTGCGAGTCCCCACACTAGGCACTGAGGGGTTTTTGAAAGAGGACTCAGACTCGCCTTGAAGAGCTGACATTCCCGTTAGTGAGCAGTAACCTGCCAGACGGGGCGGGGGGCTGCGGGAGATGGGGAAAGAGCCCGCCATCAGAAGGCCAGGTCTGAGCGCCCCCTAAAGGTCAGTGGGGGAAGTGCTGTGATGCTTCTAGCTCTGGGCCCTTCTGAGCTGTCTGATCTCTTGCTGCAGCTTGCTAAACAACTACATGATCTGGAACCTGGTGCGGAAGACAAGTTCCTTCCTTGATCAGCGCTTTCAAGACGCCGACGAGAAGTTCATGGAAGTCATGTATGGGACCAAGAAGGTAAGCTTCCATGCACGTGCTGAGCACCTACTGTGTGCGAGGCCCTGGGTTGGAGGCTCTTGTGACCTTGGTGTCCTCCAGGGCCGTGGAACTCATGAGGGAGGATCTAAGCTAGCTGGGGATGGACAGAACCTTCCAGAAGGAGATGATTACACCCGATCTTAAAGGGTAAAGAGGAATCTTAGAGAGTTAGCTACTTTACAGGAAAAGGTAGCTTCTGTTTTCTTCCTTCCAACCCCTTCTCGATGGTGTTGACAATAAACACTTTCCTGTAACTTGTGTGATCTTCATACCCCTGTGAGGTGGGTGTGATCATCATCCCCGTTTTGTACAGGGAACCCCCCACCGTAATATTGCCACTTCCCCATAAACGTAAAACACTCGGTGCAGCACCTGGTTCATGGCAAGTCCGCACAAGTGTTCACTGCTGTTGGCTCCCTGACCCCCCCGGGCCCATCCTCCCAGAGGCCCCAGCCCTCCAGGACCCTCACTCCACCCCCCCTCAGGGCCCCACCCTGGTGGGAAGCTTCCCAGGCACTTCCACTTCTTCCCCAAGGAGGTGGCGGTCACCCTCTCATTCATGTAGCCAACAGACATGCATTCAGATGACATGAGTCCCCTGTGGGAACACAGAGACAAGGGAGGTGGCGTCTGTGCCCCAATAGCCCACATCCGCTGCAAGAGGTCCTCCTGTGTGCTGACGGGACACACCAAGTCAGGGCCCCAGGGAGCAGCCATAGAGCAATAGAGGCCGAGGTGCCGGGCCTGCCCAGTGCACCCTGCCCCACCCAGGGCAGCAGCTCGAAAGACCCCGGGGGACGGGCAGAGCTGGCTCCAGCTGGGCCCTGCCCCCATGGCCCTTCCCAGAGGCGGGTGGAGGGGACAGAGCCAGTAAGGGCTAGCAGAGCATGACGGGATGTGGGTGCCTGCCTCCGGTCCTGGAGGTCACCCTGGGAAGAGTTCTCTTTTTCTTTCCCCGCCCTATGTGCACCCACCTCTGGCAGGAAAGGGACTGGGGGCAGGGGGGACTGGGATAAGAGGGGCCTCTGAGGGCACCACGGGACCTCAGCCACGAGAGCTGCGTGGCCCCGCAGAGAAGGACCAGGGGGAGCGTCGGCTGCCTTGCTCAGCTAACCCGCCTTCCCGCTCCACCTGTGCCCTGGGTCAGCAGACATGACAAGACATGGACCCTGTCCCCTGGGCACTTGGCCTCCCATGGGACTTTATTCGGGAAGAGTCTGACCAGGACTGGGGATGGTGGTTCCAGAGATGCCTCTGTGTGGGGAGCGCGCCCCTGCGTCATGGCTTTCCCACCGGGTACAGATGAGGAAACAGGCTCTGGGTGGTGAAGGGTTTCCCAAGTCACTCAGCAAGGAGGCAGCCAGGCTCCAATTCAAACCCAGCTCTGGATGACGGTGACCTCTCGGCAATTTCAGTCACTCACTAATGCTAATGATGATTATCATCATAATAAAAGTCATCATTACTAGACGTTGCCTTTTATAGACATTATGTCAGCCCATTTTATAGATGAAGAAACTGAGGCTCTGTGAAGGGAAAGGACTTGTTCAAAGTCGCACAGCCCATAAGCAAGGGGTGGGCTCTCAAACCAAGCACATCTGATCCCACAGCCCACGCCCAAGCTCTGCTCCACTCAGCCTCTGGTCTGCAGAAGCCAGAAGCCAAAATCGAGCTTCCTGGTGGCTGCTGGGGGCTGGGGGGCAGGGAGGCGGGCATAGGGAAGTTCAGTGGGGAAGTTTCACATTTGCAAGATGAAAAGTTCTGGAGATTGGTTGCACGGCAGTGTGAATATACTTAGTACAACTGACCCATACACTTAAGGCAGTTAGAATGGTAAATCTTGTGTGTACTTTACCATAATAGAGAGATTAGTAGGTAGGTAGGTAGAGAGAAAGAGAGAAAGAAAGAGGGCAAGCTTCCCTGGGCGAGGCTCAGAGTGCAGGGTGCTGCTCTAACCAGTGGGATACTAAGAGCTGGTGGGGCCCAGAGAGGCTTTGCCAGAAGCCAGGGCAACTGGGAGCCCCTGGAGGTGGGAGGTTATGAGCCACGGTCACTATATGCCCCATGCATGGTGTAAGGAAACAGCACGGAACTTTGGTCAGAAGCTCTGTGTTTGAAATGCTTCTTCTAGGGACGCGTGGGTGGCTTACTCAACTAAGCGTCCGATGTCGGCTCAGGTCATGATCTCATGGTTTGTGGGTTCGAGCCCCGTGTCGGGCTCTGTGCTGACAGCTCAGAGCCTGGAGCCTTCTTCAGATTCTGTGTCTCCCTCTCTCTCTCTGGCTTGCACTTCCCTGGCTTGCACTGTCTGTCTGTCTGTCTCTCTCAAACATAAATAAACATTTTAAAAAAATTAAATACTTCTAATCACACAGACTTGGGCGAATCATTTCATTGGAGCAGAGGGCTCAGTCTTCCCAAACGTAAAAAGGAATAAGTAATCCCTGCCCTGCTGACCAGGGCATTGTCTGGGATTACGCGAAGGGATCCCCACAAAGTCTGTCCTAAAGGCTAAAGCATGCCACACCCTGCACTTTATCTGCAAAAAGGAGCACAGGGCGTACCTGCATGTGGGGTTATTATGAGGATTACATGCGCTATGGCCCACGCCCGATAAACCTTCAGCTAGCACACTCTTGCTGTTACTATGTGTCCGTCTCTCCCACTGGGTGCTCTGGGCGTTTCGACTGAGCCCCTTGAAGGCAGGGGTCACGGCCGATTTGTCTCTAGGTTCCAAACACCTAGCACTGTCAGGGTGCAGAGGCACTGCCCAGAGAGTGCTGGGCATGTGAATGAATGAATGAATGAATGAATGGAATGGAATGGAATGAATGAATGGGTTTATGCAAAAGGTCTCCTGAGAAGGCAGTAAGGCTTGGCCCCTGACTGAGCCATCAGGGCCTGGGGACCCCACGGAGCCTGGGAGTTCGAGTCCCCCCTATCCTGACCTTCTGCGTGGGCTGTCTTGGCCCAGTCTGGGCACAGCCCGTGTCCAGCTGAAGGCAGGTGGGTTGTGGGGAGGACAGGGCATCTGAATGGACACATGGGTGGGAAAGCTTAAAGGAACTTAGACCCCTCAACTTATGGAAGGCTGAGATGCCTTTTACTTCCTTCCCTTCTTCCTTCCTTCCTGGAAGAAATTTAACTAAGGTAGGATTTACATACCGCAAAATGAACCATATACACTAAGTACACAGCGTGGTGAGATTTGACCAATGAAATCGCCCTTCCAACCAGCACCCCTTTTGAGATAGAGAACACTCCTGTCACCTACTTAGCCAGTGTCCTTGGATCGGAAGTTTCCTTCGGTCCCTCAGGTGGGTGTGGACAGGTGTGGGTGGCATGGTACACTGTGGGCTCTTTCGTGTCTGGCTGCTTCTGCTCAGCTAATGGCTGTGAAATGCATCCGTGTTGTGTATCAATAGTTCATTCCTTCCTGTTGCCAAGTAGTTCACTATTGTATAAAAATACCACATTTTGTTTATCCGTCTGCCTGTTGGTGGGCATTTGGCTGTTTTCAGTTGGAAAACTATTACGAGGCAGGCGCCGCCCCAAGCCTGCTGGTTGTTACCACCTGTTGTGTCTTCAGGGTCAGGAGGCCACACAAGGGCTTTACACAAGTAGGGTGAGCAGGGTCACCACCCACGATCACGGGGACTGTGCATAGCCAGCGGGCCGGTGGGGCAAGCTTCCCCTCAGTTCCATGAGGCCTGAGGCCGCCCGTCTCCAGCTCCCCAGAGATGTCCAGCTCCCCAGAGATGTCTCACCTTGTGGGCGAGACCACAGGCCACAAAGGCACCCCCCCTGCAGCATCGCTGTGCTGGTCCTTCCTCCAGGGGCTTTACATGGGGTTGGGTCCTGGGGCGCCGGGGTGGCTCAGTCGGTTAAGCGTCTGACTCCGGCTCAGGTCATGATCTCGCAGTCCGTGGGTTTGACCCCTGCATCGAGCTCAGTGCTGACAGCTCAGAGCCTGGAGCCTGCTTCAGATTCTGTGTCTCCCTCTCTCTCTGCCCCTCCCCCACTCATGCTCTGTCTGTCTCTCTCTCTCAAAAAATAAACAAACATCAAAAAAGAAAAGGGGGTTGGGCCCTGGCCTCCTGGGAAGGCTTTCTTGTTGCACAAGAATAGAAAAGGTAATCTCTCAAGTCTTTGCCCCCAGGATTCTTAGCCCCCGCCCCCAGGGGACAGGGCAAAGTAGGGATGGGGGTGTAGGGTGTCTGGTCAGGCATGTCAGAGTTCTGTCACTGTAACACCCCTTGCTTGCCGTGGGACCCTGGACCAGTGACTTCCCCTTGCTGAGTTTCTGTGTCCATTTCCTCATCGGCTGCCTTCCAGTTCATTCCAGTGGCTCCTTAAGATACTATTTGTGACATGCTGTGCGCAGAGCCTGGCGTTCAGGAAATCATAGATGGCGGTGATGAGGAATATTCTACGGCCTCTTGGTCCAGTGCCTAAAATAACTTCCACTCCGTCAGAAAAGGTCTCCTGGAGGTTCTGGAAGGAAGCGGCCCCATCTGCTGCTGCCTCCTGGATGGACAAGGGTTGGGAAGCAGGACAGTACAAGTAACCCCTGTCCCTTGTGTTTCCAGACCTGTCTTCCCCGGTGGAAGTTCTGCGTGAGCGACACAGAGAACAACTTGGGCTTCGCCCTGGGCCCTATGTTTGTCAAAGCGACCTTTGCGGAGGACAGCAAGAGCATAGTGAGTGCCTCCCCTCCCACACGGGCTGTGACATCGCACCTGCACTAGCCCCCCGTGAACTTGACAGCCCATCCTCCCGTCTGCCCTGGGCCTTTCCTACTCTGGGCCAGGGCTCCAGCCTTAACTCAAAGTTCGTGTTTTCTGAAGCCTTGAACGTAAGCATGAAGCCTCAATAGCTACTGTAATTGAGCCGCAGGCACTTTAGCTATATCACTGCCGTTTAACCCTGCGAGGCCTTGCCGGCCGTCTCCACCTCCACCTCTGAGGGGAATGAAGGGCCCAGCGAGGAAGTGTTGGCAGAGTAGCTCTGGCCTAAAGGGTGACATTTTTCTTACCCTGCGGGTGACATGTTTTTCTGACCAGGCAGAGGTCACCTCCTCTGGCTGGTGACTTGGAGGCAGGTCAAGTCACCGTTTCTCCCTTCACCGTTAACTTGGAAGTGAGGCTGTCCCTCTCGCAGCGGGAGAGGAAATGAAATACCACACACAAAACAGGGGCTCTGTAAACAGTGGCTCTGATGTTATTGTTATCGTTGTGTTGTTACCATTTTTGTTACTGATTTTAAGTATCTGCAGTCAGATGTTAGCAAAGGGAGACTCCCATTCCTCAGGCAACTGGCCTGTGAGCCGCCGATACAGAATCTTCATCTAGTTCTGTCAGCTGTCAGCCCCTCCACTCTCTGCTGTGTGACTTCCTTCCTCTGCTCTAGAATCTTTGGCCTCCAGGCCTGCCTGTGACATTATCGTCCTCGGAACAGCTGGTCACCTCCAGCCTGACCACAGCATTTCTGAAACTGCTTCTCAGGACTCGGGTCTGTAGAGTTTAAAGCCCATTCCATCAATAAAGGGATCCTGTGGGCCAGTAAGTCTGAGAAAGACTGAGACTTTTACACTCTCCAAAAGAACCCCAGTGCATGTTACACACTAAAGGTTCTGAAAAGTCCTGCAGAGGAGAGACTCTTCCAACTTCCCCAAAGCTTGTCCTCCGCGTATCTGGCCGCGGAGCTCGGTTTATGGAGGTCCGGTCTGGTCCCGCAGGACTCGCCTGTTCTGAAGAAAAAGGCTGGAGAAGGGGCTGGGGCTCCCCTTCTTCGCCCAGCACTCAGGAGCCTGAGGTTTTGAGCTGAAATCTGAGTTTAGACTCTGGCCCAAGGCCTCCCTTCTGCATGGGGTGCCCGTCCAGTGCCCAGACCTCACTGGTCTGCTTCTCTGTCCTCAGGCCAGCGAGATAATCCTAGAGATCAAGAAGGCGTTTGAGGAAAGCCTGAGCACGCTGAAGTGGATGGACGAAGACACTCGGAGATCAGCCAAGGAGAAGGTGAGGCTGGCCCGGTGCCTGAAGGGATGGCTGAGGCTTCCCGCCCACAGGGCCGCAGCCGCGGATGGAGGAGGGTGCTTGAAGGGAGCCCGGCCCCAGCTAGTGAGCACGGTGTGGATGTCGTCCTGCCTTCAGGGGGTGAACAGTCCAGCGGGATGGAGAGACAGCCTTGAACTCATGATTGCTTTAATGGTTATGTAAAAACAGACCGTGTGGAGCATGTGAGAGAAAAATGCAGGGAGAAGTGACATGTCTAACGGAAGGGACTTGATAGAGTCCAGCGGGGGACAGCCAGCAAAGGCTTCCCTCGGGATGTGACATTTAAGCCGAGGGCCAAAGGGTAAGTAGAAGTCAGGCAAGAGAGGAATCTTTCCAGAAAGCGATGTGGAAGCCCTGAGGGGGAGGACCTGTCCGTGTCCTGGGGTCCCAGAGCCCAAGTCCGGCTGCCACTGCTGGGCGCTCAGTGTCCGCTGTACCTCTCCTGTCCAGGCAGATGCAATCTACAACATGATAGGCTACCCCAACTTCATCATGGACCCCAAGGAGCTCGACAAAGTGTTCAATGACGTGAGTAGCTCCCACCTGCCCCCTTGTGTTCCCGGATGCCCCTGGAGGTCTGCGCTTGGGGATGAGCAGAGGCAGGCTGGGTCCGGGTGGTGTGCTAGAGGCACCTTGACTATCAGGACATCTCAAGATGCAGAGGTGGGAGGTTGTGCGGATGGGCTCTCTGCTCCTCCTCTCCTGGCCCCGCCTCCCCGGGGCCGCCGGCAGTCGGTGGCCAGCCCTCGGTACCAAACAGTGCCTGCCAGACATTCCATTTCACGGGCAGCTCCACTGATGAGTGGGAAATGATGGAGGTGAGCAGACCCTAGAAGGGAGAGACAGAATTGATGCCCCTAAAATATCATGGAGCCCCTCATACCACCTCTTCCTTCCCAACCCCCCCCAAGTTCTCTCCTCTACCCAGGGTTCTCCTCCCCCTTCCCAGAAAAACCTGGACCTCATTTGGACCTTAAATGCTAACGGAAATGCGGAAGCATGAATCCCAAATGTACATGTACGCTTAACTGAGGCAACAAGGGTGGTTGGTATATTCCTGGGAGTCAGACCTTCTGGCAGGTCATTCTTTTAAATGGATTATATTTCTGCCTTAAAAGATAGTTTTATATCTCCTTGTGATTGAAATTTATGAATTCGGGCATTTTTGCAATTATAATAACCTCTCATCATGGCTCTATTTAAAACCTAAGAATATTAAAATCACTTCTGAGAATATGGAACTGACTTATTCTGCAGCCTTGTTTCTTCAGAATAATTTAAGATGCCCCCAGGGCGTCACAATACAAGATCTAGAGGCTCTTGCTGGTGGCGCAGGCACAGCCCACAGGGTCAGAGCCCTGTCCCCAGGGGCCCAGCATTTTACCAGAGCCCTGACGAGAAGCCAGAAAGCCCTGGAGCCAGTCTGAGGGAGAGCTTCGCCCCCTGAAAGGAGCTGAAAGGCTGGGCTGAGTGCTGAGGAAAGTGTGTGGTGATGCCTGTACCCTGACACTTCAGAGACCCCTCCCAGCTTGATTCAGGGCTATCCAGAGTGGTAGCCACTAGCCACTGCTACTTAATTAATTAAAATTAAATCTAAATCTAAAATGTAATTAAATGTAAAAGTCACACCAGCCACATTTGAAATGCTCAGGAGGCACAAGTGGCCGGTACCCACCATACTGGATGATGCAGGCATAGACCATGTCCCTCGCCACAGAAAGCTCTATGGGACAGCACTGGAGGGGCTTCCTGCCTAAGGCCCAGGTGCTGCTGCAGGCCCATGACACTGCCGGCTGTTGAGCGGCCCTGGTGAAGCTCTTACTGCATCCTCGAACGGGAGAGGGGAGGGTGCCAGGCCCCAGCATGGTCAGGGCCAAGGCAAGAGCCCAGCCTGCAGTCCCGAGCCCCCCATTCCAGCCTTTGACCTGAGGACCGATCCCTTCACCTTGTGGAGTCTCGGCTCCCTCAGTTTTAGAAGAAGGGGTTTGCCTTCAAGGAGCCAAGCGGCCTCCTGGCCTGGATACACTCTGATCTTGTGCTTTCGCTTCCCCTGGTCCAGTACACTGCGGTTCCGGACCTCTACTTTGAGAATGCCATGCGGTTTTTCAACTTCTCCTGGAGGGTCACTGCTGACCAGCTCAGGAAAGCTCCCAACAGAGACCAGTGAGTCCGTGGGCCCTGCTGGGAGGACACTGGGTGCTCCGGGCTAAGCTTGCCTCTGCTGCACTTGTACCATGTGCCACCGTGACTGTCCTAAGTGCCATCCGAGGAGTGGGCACCGTGGTTTTCCCACTCTTTAGATGCAGGGACCAGGGACCAAGGACGTGTGCCCAGCCAGGAGCTGGGACGGGCCCGGGCCTCTGTGCCGCCAGTGCCCAGCCTGTTGGCAGAGCAGCGGCCTCTCGACTTGAGTGGGCCTGGCCTCACACCCTGGTCCACGGCTCCAGCCTTTGGAGCCTTTGCCTCATTATCTGCAGATACGATGGGAGGGGCCGGTGGACACTCAAGTGTGAGAACTTCTGAGGACTGTCTGGCACAGAGGAGGCCCTCAGTTAGGGAAGATTCCAGATGGGCCCCCAACAGCTGTGGTTCTCAAACCTCACTGCACATCAGGACCCTCCGGGGAAGTTGTTTTTCAGTGTTTGTGTGTGTTTTCCTCGGAAAGGTTTTGTTTTGGTTTTTTTTTAATGTTTGTGAGAGAAAGACTGCGCATGTGCACGTGGGAGGGGCAGAGAGAAGGGGACAGAGGGTTCCAGATGTACTCTGTGCTGACAGCAGAGAGCTCGAGCTCATGAACTGTGAGATCATGACATGAGCCGAAACCAAGAGTTGGACGTTCAACCCACCGAGCCACCCAGGCTCCCCTCCTCGGGAAGTTTTTTTAAACACAGCTTCCGCCTGGACCTCAAACCTTCTTAAAATAATCTGGAATGAGCCCGGGTATCTGTCATTTTCTGAGCAGTCTCCTTGGGAAAATGTTCTGTTGTCAACGCAGCTCTAGTTCTCAAAATAAGCTCCCTCCACGCCTAAAACATTTTGCAGAATAAATCTCACCAAAGGGTGGAAGCAACTTCTCTTTGTCTCTGGTGCCCCCTCGTGGTCAACAGAGGTTTGAACATCTCTGTGTCTTCAAGTTTCCTGTCTCCAGAATGTGGCACAGGTTCCGAATTTATCTGAAGTCTTTAACTTAAAATTTGTCATTTAAATTCTGCCTCCTGCCCATTCATGTAGCCATGTGTTTTTAAAAAATATGATGTTTTGGGGGCACCTGGGTGGCTCAGGTTGAGCGTTCGACTTTGGCTCAGGTCATAATCTTATGGTCCATGAGTTTGAGCCCTGCGTTAGTCTCTGTGCTGACAGCTCAGAGCCTGGAGCCTGCTTTGGCTTCTGTGTTTCATTCTCTCTTTCTGCTCCTCTTCCACTCATGCTTGCTCTCTCTCTCTCTCTCTCTCTCTCAAAAATAAATAAACTTAAAAAAATTGTTTAAAAAAAACCATACAATGTTTTCAATTTCCCAGTATCTTTCCATGGCTTCCGTTACCCACCAATGCATCTCTGTGGCGCTTACCTGGAGGAGATGGAGTGACTGTCTAAGCTCTTGGAGAAAATGTTCTTCCTGTCTCACTCTGCTCCTTTTTTTTAAAGTTTATTTATTTTGAGAGAGAGAGAGAGAGAGAGAGCATGCACCTGGGGAGGGAAGGCAGGTAGAGAGAGAGAGGGAGAAGCAAATCCCTAGCAGGCTCCACATTGTCAGCACAGAGCCTGATACAGGGCTCAAACTCACAAACCATGAGATCTTGACCTGAGCTGAAACCAAGAGTTGGTCACTTAACTGACTGACTCAGACACAGTAGCACTCCACTCCTTACTGACCTTCCCCTCCGTACCAGAAAAATTATCAAGTGGACAGATGTTACTACCATCAGGTTCCCTTCTACATTCTTTATATATATATATATAAAGAAATATAAAAGAAATATTAAATATTAAATATAAAAGAAAAAATATAAAAGAAAATAAAAATATATATATATATTTTTTTTAGGTTTTATTTATTTAACTAATCTGTACACCCAACATAGGGCTCGAACTCACAACTCCAAGATCAAGAGTTGCACACTCCACCAACTGAGACAGCCAGGCGCTCTGCCCCCCTTCTACACCCTTGAAAAATTATTCAACCCCAAAGAGTCTTTTTTGCATAGTGATTATATCAATTTAATGTAAATTTTATTTAAATGTACTATTTTCTTAAAAAATATTTAGTGAGGGGCGCCTGGGTGGCTTAGTCGGTGAAGCGTCCGACTTTCGCTTAGGTCATGATCTCACGGTTCGTGGGTTCGAGCCCCGCATCAGGCTCTGTGCTGACTGCCAGCTCAGAGCCTGGAGCCTATTTCAGTTCTGTGACTCCCTCTCTCTCTGGCCCTCCCCTGCTTATGCTGTCTCTCTCTCTCTCTCTCTCTCTCTCCTAGAAATAAATAAAACATTAAAAAAAATAAATAAATAAAAATAAAAAAATAAAAAAATAAAAAAAATTCAAAAAAATAAAAAATATTTAGTGAGAAAAAGGTATTATTTTACTTTTTGCCTATTTCTTTAATATCCAGCTTAATAGAAGACAGCTGGATTCTATATCTGCTTCTGTGTTCAGTCTATTGGCAATATCATGTTTTAAAAAAAGAAAACCTAGCCTCATGCAGATACGAAGTTGGCAATGGGAGGGATGCTTTCATAGCCTGTTCTGATACTTGTGCACACTCTTTGTTGATACTACACCAAAACTCAGCAAGTAATAATTTGTGAAAGGTTCATCGCACTGTGGAACCTGAAACCATAGTTGTGAACTTTTCATTCCCTGTTACACTAAAACCCCTCGGTCTGTCTCGCACTTTGAATGGATCTTTTACCCAGCCATAATCTGTAACATCACACATTGGTCATTTGGAAAGCAATGGCCCGCTGACTTTTACATACCTTCTAAATAGTGACGTTTTCATTATACAGTTTCCCAAAAAATGTACATTTGTTCATACCACGGTTGACCTCCTGAGAAAAGTCTTCTAAGTATTGGGAAGCTGTCAAGTTTGTTTGACTGCTACAAGTTCTTGTAATTAATTTTACTAATTAAGTAGTTAATCTTGCTTGAAACTTCAAATTTTTTTCTTAATTTTTAAAAAATTCTGCGGTACCTGGGTGGCTCAGTAGGTTAAGCGTCCAACTTCGGCTCAGGTCACGATCTCCCAGCTCGTGAGTTCAGGCCCCTCATCGGGCTCTGCACTCACAGTGTGGAGCCTGCTTGGGATTCTCAATGTGTCCCTCCCCAACTCATGATTTCTCTCTCTGTCTCTCAAAATAAATAAATAGACTTAAAATTTTTTTAATTTTAATTTTTGTAAGTAAGCTCTATGCCCAATGAGGGTTTGAACTCATGGCCCTGGGATCAAGAGTTGCATGCTCTGGAGGCACCTGTGTGACTCAGTCTGTTTATCATCCGGCTTCAGCTCAGGTCATGATCTCACAGTTCATGGGTTTGAGCCCTGCCTCAGGCTCTGTGCACAAAGCCTGGAGCCTGCTTCAGATTTTGGGTTTCCCTCTCTCTCTGCCACTCCCCTGCTTTCTCTCTCTCTCTCTCTCCCTCCCTCAAAAATAAGTAAACATTGGAGCTCCTGGGTGGCTCAGTCAGTTGAGCATCTGACTTAGGCTCAGGTCATGATCTCACAGTTTGTGAATTCGTGCCCCGCGTCGGGCTCTGTACTGACAGCTCAGAACCTGGAGCCTGCTTTGGCTTCTATATTTCATTCTCTCTCCGCCCCTCCCCAACTTGTGCTCTGTTTCTCTGTCTCTCAAAAATAAATAAGTGTAAAAAAAATTTTTTTAATAAGTAAGCATTAAAAAAAAAAAAAGATGTTCCAAAATGGAGCACCTGTGTGGCTCAGTTCAGTTAAGCCATCGACTCGATTTCAGTCAGGTCATGATCTCATGGTTCGTGAGTTTGAGCCCCATTGGGCTCCACACTCACAGTGTGTGATTCTCTCTCTCTCTCTCTCTCTCTCTCTGCCTCCTCCCACCAAAATACATAAATAAACTTAAAAAAAAAGAAGAAGGTTCCTAAGTGGAATGGGTCCCCCGCTGAGGAGCACACGGTGACCTGGAGCCGCTGGTGTCCCTGCCCTGACTCACACTTGGGCTCCAAAAGCTTCACCCGCTGTTGCAAATGTCAACATGGCGGAAAAGGCAAATAAGGACTTCATATTATCATGCAAATAGTTTTGACCTAGAAGACTCCCACACAAGGAATTGAGGACTCCTCCAAGGGTCCACAGACACACTTTGAGAACTGCTTGGCAGCAGTGGCCTTTCTTTCTTTTTTAATTTTAATGTTTATTTGTTTTGGAGACAGAGAGAGAGACAGAGACAGAGCATGAGTGGGGGAGGGGCAGAGAAAGAAGGAGACACAGAATCCAAAGCAGGTTCCAGGCTCCTGCTGTCAGCACAGAGCCGATGAGGGGCTTGAGCTTACCAGCTGTGAGATCATGACCCGAGCTGAAGTTGGACACTTAGCTGAGCCGCCCAGGCGCCCCGGCTGTGGCCTGTCAGTGGCTTTGTCGGAGCCTCGTGTTGCACCGTGTGCGGTGTGACATGGGATTTCACTGACCCCTTCTTTGCAGGCAGTTGGGGTTTTTCTGGTTTTCCCTCCAAAACAGTGCTGCTAAGGACGTCCCTGTACTTGTGTGCACTTGGGGCCGGGGTTAGGGCCCTTGATAACCTACAGACGGCCTGCGCCCCCGCCTGCCCCCCCCCGCGCCCCCGCCTGCCCCCCCACCTGCCCCTGCCCCACATCCCCGCCTGCCCCCCCGCGTCCCCGCTTGCCCCCCACCTACCCCCGCCCCACGTCCCCGCCTGCCCCCCCCCGCGTCCCCGCCTGCCCCCCCCTACCCCCCTGCGTCCCCGCCCGCCCCCCCGCGCCCCGCCTGCCGCGTCGGAGCCTTCAGGCCTGTGATGTTGCAGGTGGAGCATGACCCCGCCCATGGTGAACGCCTACTACTCGCCCACCAAGAACGAGATTGTGTTTCCGGCCGGCATCCTGCAGGCGCCTTTCTACACCCGCTCCTCACCCAAGTAGGACTTTTGGGGTGCCCCCGCTCACTCTCCTTCCCCCGCCCCTCAGTGGACACCCGGCCCAGGGAGCTTGGGACGTCCACGCCCTGTGCGTCCCTCCAGGGGCCTCCGGGATCCAGAAGCCCCTGCACAGTGGGGACTTGGAGGCCCGCCACCCGGGGGTGGGGGGGGACGTCCAGGGGAACGCCCCTCTCGCGGTGTTTTAGAGCCGTCACAGCTGAGGAGGTGGCGGGCCTGAGGGACCCGTCTCACAAAGGAAGGCTGTGTGGCCCTGGGTTGGAATCCAGGGTCTGCTGCTCCTCGCTGACCGAGTGGCCCTTGATCCACGTGATCAAACCGTTCCAAGTGGCTTACTCCTTTATGGAGTCGGTCATTAGTGCTGAACCCTTTTGAGGTGACCAAAGAGGACAGCGCAGCTCTGGGGAGTGTCGAGCACAGTGCGTGGCATCCGGTGGGCACCCGCTGCCCAGTTGCCCAGCCTCTCACTGGCCCTGGGGGCCTGGCTGGAAGTTCAGGCCGCGGCCACGTCCCTGCAGAGCCCCAAAGGGCCCCGCTGTTTCTCCAGACCCAGGAAGCGATGGCCCCTTGTGACGTCACCCTCACTTTGTTTGCTCCCCTCCAGGGCCTTAAACTTTGGTGGCATTGGTGTTGTCGTGGGCCACGAGCTGACTCATGCCTTTGATGATCAAGGTATGACTCCCTGGGGTCCCCTCCTGACCTGGCACGCTGACTCCTGGCCCCACTGCTTCTTCGTTCTCGTCACTTCCAACGGCTGGAGGCGCATGGATCTGGGTTCAGCCCTGGCCCTGCCTCCTGCCCGCTGAGGGAACTTTAACAAGCCCTGTCATTTCTCCAGGCCTCCCCGTTCTTGTCTGTAAAGTGGGCATGGCGATTCCAACCCCATGTGATTGTGGGGACTGTGTCAGACCCAGGGTTCCTGGAAGGCTCGGGAGCGGGTGTTAGTTTTCTACAAGGAGCACACATTTCTCCTCCACTCCAGAGACTTCTCTGGTCCGGCTGCCAGGGGAGGAGTTAAAGTCATTCGCCTCCTCACCAGCAAATGTCCAGAATTCTCCTTCCCTCCTGCCTTGGGGATTCCGAGGCCAAAAAGGAAGAGGCGGGACTTTAGGGGCCAGGGCCTGTCCTGTGATCCTTGTGCTGCCGATTCCGCTCACCCCTTCCCGGGCTCAGGGAACGAGGCCCTTCGCCAGCTTTGACAGTAAATTCCGCTCCGCCGAAACTGAACAGCTGACCCTTTGCGCGCGTCAGATCCCTCCATCCTCTCGCCCCCACCTGCCACCCAGCCCATCTGGCTCATTCTCCCAGCTCCTCTGGCCCCAGACCCGCACCGTCTCCCCAGTGCTGGTGGGTAGATGGGGTCCATTTCTCACTGGGAGGAGAGGCTCCGTTAATAGCCACCCGTGCCGGCTCTGCCTCTCCTTCCCCCTGACCTCAGCTTCCCTCTGACCCCCAGGACGGGAGTATGACAAGGACGGGAACCTTCGGCCCTGGTGGAAGAACTCGTCCGTGGAGGCCTTCAAGCAGCAGACCCAGTGCATGGTGGGCCAGTACAGCAACTACAGTGTGAACGGGGAGCCGGTGAACGGCCGGCACACCCTCGGGGAGAACATCGCCGATAACGGGGGTCTCAAGGCAGCCTATCGGGTAAGAGCTCACCCCCCCACATGCACCCTGACCCAAGTCTGGGTCCTTGCGGGTTTCTCCTCAGTAAAGGGTCGTTAGAGACCAGCTCCGTGAGCTGCAGCCGCTCCGTGAGCTTCCGTTTCCTCGGCTGAGAAACCGGCGATGGCTGATGGAGAAGCTCGCAGAGTCCCCAGCACAGAGTGCGGCGTTCCGAGGGCTTTCCGGCCCTGAGTTGGGCCCAGCTAAGAGACACAGGAAAGGGCTTGGCTGGACCCACCTGACCACCTGCCTATTCTTACCTTTGCAGGGAAAGGCATCACTAATGCAGGCAGCAGTGGACCCAGGAGGGGAGGGAAGGGGAGGGACACTGGTCATGGAGCCAGTTCCAGGTTCAAGTCCTGGCTCTGGAGTAAGTCACAGCCTCCTTGAGCCCCAGCGTGCTTGGCTGTGACCACCTACTCCCTCCATCACTGGTGTGGCAGAACGTTGACACAGACGGGGCGCCTGGGTGGCTCAGTTGGTTGAGCTTCCAGTTTTGGCTCAGGTCATGATCTCACGGTTTGTGGGTTCAAGTGCTGACAGCTCAGGGCCTGGAGCCTGCTTTGGATTCTGTGTCTCCCTCTCTCTGCCCTTCCCCTGCTTGTGCTCTGTCTCTCAAAAATGAATGAACATTTTTAAAAATATAGAAAAAAGAAAGTTGGGCACAGAGTGACACTCAGAAAGGTCAGCTGAGCTGGAAGGGAGAGAGAACAGAGGCCACGAGAAGAGAAGGAGATGTCTATTAGAAAACAAGACAAAGCCTCCTCCTCTCCGTGACAGAGCAGAAATAAATAAATGAGGTGCCATTTATTGAGGCTTAATTATGTGCCGGGCTCTGCTCAGGACCCCACAACTTTCCCATTAGATATTACCACCCCCATTTTGCAGGTGAGGAAACTGAGCCCAGAAACACTGGCTAATCTGCCTGAACTCCAGGAGTCAGTGAAAATGTACCGTGAACCTTCTGCCCACCACGGACTGTCTTAGGCGCTGGAGATTTGTGCCAGGACAGACTGCGATCGTGCTCTCAGAAAGCGCACAGTTTTGTGGGGCAGGGGAGGGGGAGAAAGCCAATACACAACTGAACAAATAAGGTGATTTCAGGTACTGATAAGATGAAGAATATAAGATAGAGCAAAGTAATGAAAAATAAGGGGGCAGGGTGGTCAGGGAGGGCCTTCTGGAGGGGATGACCTTGGAATTGAGACTTAAATGATGAGGAAGAGGCAGGGGAAGCTGGAATAGAATAGTAAGTGCAGATGGACACAGCCCGGCATGGTCAACGGCAGGAAGATGAGCAGGGGTGGAGTGCAGGGAGGGGACGTTGGAGGAGTGACCAGGACCGGAGCTCACCAGGCCTGAGTCAACTGCTTAAGGAGCTTGGGTTTTGTTCTGTACAATGAGAGCTACCGCACGATTTTTAAAAAGAATGACACAATTGGGGTGCCTGGGTGGCTCAGTCAGTTGAGCATCTGACTTCGGCTCAGGTCATGATCTCACGGTTCGTGGGTTCGAGCCCCGCGTTGGGCCCTGTGCTGACAGCTCAGAGCCTGGAGCCTGTTTCAGATTCTGTGTCTCCCTCTCTCTGCCCCTCCCCTGATCACACTGCCTCTCTCTCTCTCAGAAATAAATAAAACATTAAAAAAAATTAAAAGAAAAAAAAGAATGACACAATTTAATTTATCCTTTAAGACCAGGGTTCACAAACCTACACCTTGTGGGCCAAATCCAGCTCTCAGCCAGTTTTTGGAAATAAAAAATTCAGGGGGACACAGCCAGGCCCATTCATTTCCACGTTGTCTGCGGCTGCTGTCACTCGACACGCCAGAACGGAGTAGCTGCAACAAGACCCTTTGGCCTCTGAGACTGAAAATATGTACCCTCTGGCCCTTCACGGGAAAGGTTGCCAACCCTGCTTTACGAGGATGGCCTAAGGTGCTGTGTCAGGTTGGAATCAGACCAGCTCAAGCCAGGGAGTCTGGTTAGAAAGCTGTTATGCGATTATCTGGGCAAAAGGAGGGGTAAAGCCATGCAAGGGTAAGAAGTGGGCAGATTCAGATTGTTTGGACGCTTGACAGAGAAGCTCAGGGTGCCTGGCTGAGCACTGAAGAGTGTGTGACACTTGATCTCAGAGTTGTGAGTTTGAGTCCCACATTGAATGTAGAAATTACTTAAAAATAAAATCTAGGGCACCTGGCTCAGTCAGTTAAGTGTACGACTTTGGATCAGGTCATGATCTCTCAATTAGTGAGTTCGAGCCCTGCGTCAGGCTCTGTGCTGACAGCTCAGAGCCTGGAGCCTGTTTCGGATTCTGTGCCTCCTTTTCTCTTTCTGCCCCCATTCATGCTCTGTCTCTCTCAAGAATAAATAAACATTAAACAATTTTTTTAAATAAAATCTTTTTTATAATGTTTTATTGATTTATTTTGAGAGAGGAAAAGAGAGAGTGGGGGAGGGACAGAGAGAGAGAGAGAGAGAGAGAGAAAGAATCCCAAGTAGGTTCTGTGCTTTTAGCACAGAGCCCGATGTGGGGCTCGATCCTACAGACTGTGAGATCATGACTTGAGCTGAAATCAAGAATTGAATGCTCAACCAACTGAGCCACCCAGGTGCCCCCGAAATAAAATCTTCAAAATACAAAAGGAAGAAAGAAAAAAAGAGAAGCCCAAAGAACTCTGGGGTTGGGGCCCGAGTAACGAGGTGCTTGGTGGTACCATTTACTGTGGTGGGGAAGCATGTGTGCACATACGTGTGCATGTGCAATCTCTTGTTCTGCTGTTCCATGTTGAGTCTGGGATGCATCTTGGAAATCCAGCTGAAGCAGTTGAATAAACAAGTCAGGGAAGAGGCTGGAGCTGGAAGTATGCACTTGAGAGCTGTGGGCGTGTAGGTGGTATCTAAGCCGTAGCGTTGAATGTGCTGCCCTTCAGAATGAATGCAGGTGAAGATCACTCCCCTGGGCTGAGCTGAGGCCCAGACTCCCCAGAATGAGTCCCCACCCCAGTGGGGTAGAGCTTTCCAGGATCCCCTGTACCGGCCCTCCATTGCTGCCCTGTTTGCTCCTGGGTCGTGGGAGGCCCTAAGCTTCATTTTCTCTGCTTCCAGGCCTACCAGAACTGGGTGAAGAAGAACGGAGCTGAGGAGACGTTGCCCACCCTGGGCCTCACCAATAACCAGCTCTTCTTCCTGGGCTTCGCACAGGTGAGTTCGTTATAGGACAAAATGCCCAACTCAGGCACATTCTGCCATCTTGAAGTTCTAAGAGCTCCAAGAGCCAATGGGCGAGTTCCCCTCAATTAACCTTCTAGCTCATTGGCCCATCCATAGGGCACCTAGTTTGTAAGAAGGTGAGCTTCCTGCCATTAGAGAAATCCCATGAATGCCATTAAAAGGTCTCCAGTATCAGGTAGATAAGAAGACAAGTGAGTGCTAAGGATCCTTCTGGTTCAGAGGTTCTAAATATTTCCTAAACTCAAAATATGCCAGGATATCCCTTGAGTTGGCATTAATGTATAGTCTTCTGTTGGTGCCCAGAGCCACAGACAATTTTTGTTCTGCCTAGGAAGTGGGGTCTGTGGACTCAGTTCACGGTTTTCAGACTGGATTTAGGACAGAACCCTTTGTTCAGATGAAGTCTAATGCAGAGGCCCAGGACAGACCAGGTGCCTGCAGTAGAGGATGCTGGGACAGGGAACATACCAGCCCAGTGTCTCTTCCCCACACACTCGGCAGCCCCAGCTGACTCCCAGGCTCTTAGAACCAGGCAGGGGCCCATCGCCTCCTGTCGTGGATGGGTGCAGTCTGGCGGCCTCAGGGCCCCACAGTGACTAGCTTCTCCCTTGTTGCCTCACAAAGGTCTGGTGCTCCGTCCGCACGCCCGAGAGCTCCCACGAAGGCCTCATCACCGACCCTCACAGCCCCTCCCGCTTCCGGGTCATTGGCTCCGTCTCCAACTCCAGGGAATTCTCAGAACACTTCCACTGCCCACCTGGCTCGCCCATGAACCCTCATCACAAGTGCGAAGTCTGGTGAGGGGGGAGCACCTCGAGCCAAGACAGAGGATGAGCCCCCAGGAGGGGCCGACAAGGCCGTCTCTCCCTCCAGCGTCCAGGGCACCGCCCCGCCCCCTCCTCGGCCCCCCAGGGCCCCCCTACCCCGCGCTGGAGGGTTTTCAGCCAGAACTGAGCCTACCATGTGGGCTCTCAACACAATCTGAGATTTGGTCCCCTGTGAAGACCCTGGCATCCCAGGCACATGTGCGTCAACTCCAGTGGGCATTGGGGTGTCGGGCTGGTTGCTCACCAGGCCTGGGCCCCACGCTGACAAGGGCGGTGGACGCAGCCCCTCCCCGCCCACATCCGGCGCCAGAAATACCACTGTGTCAAATGCTTTAAAGATATATTTTTTGGGGAAACTATTTTTTAAACATTGTGGAATACACTGGAAATGTTCAGGGAAATAATGAATTTAAAACACTTTTTTTTTTTAAGGAAAGAATTGGTATATTTATTATATTCTGTTTTTCTAAATAACCTGTGGATAAGGGAAGCCCCACTGACATACCCCTCTCTTCCTCACTCGCTGCGAGGTCGCCCGAGGCAGCCATCCCCAGCCATTGAGCGCGCCCCCAACAGAGAGCTGCCCAGCCCTTGGTGTTTACAGTCTCAGCCTCTGTCACCTGGTTTTGCAGCTGCAGGGTGTAGACAGGAGAGGTGTGAGGCCAGGAAGGGGCAGAGGCCGGCTCATGGGCCCCGTCCCTCGCAGCTTGCCTGGCTCTGTCCCCACAGTCCAACAGTGGGAACCCCAGCTAAGACGGCCTAATCCCCAAAGTCGCAGCAGGGAATTGATGGCTGCGGCAGGATGGGGCCCGGTCATGGCCCCCAAACTCAGCCCGCTGCACCCCGGCGCCCTGGGCCTGGACGGCAGAACGCCTGAGAGACCTGGCCCTCCGTCAGATGCGTTCTGCCGCGCCGTAGATAGCCCCTCTCCGTCCCTCTTCCGGCCACTCCCAGCCCAGCCACTTCGGGGTCTGCCCTGCCGACCCTCTTCCGCAAAGGAAGGAGAATAGAGGAAACCACTCTCCTGTCCCACAGGGCCCAGGTCCTCCCTCTGAGCTCCGTCCTGCACCCCTGGCCTGGGCTCGGCTCCCAGGACCACACGCAGCCCGCCCGCCCACCCTCCATCTCTAGTGCCTTATCTGAGGCTGCAGCCCAGGCTCTACCGCAAGGAGACAGCTCCGTACCAGGTGCCCCCGGCCCCTTCAGTGAAGCCTTCAAGTGTCCTGACTATAATGCAAGGCCATACCCCTCCTCCCAGTGCCTGCAGAGCCGCCCCTCACCGCAGCCCGGCAGCTCTAGCCCACAGGGCAGTGGCACCAAGGTCAGGGATCTGAAGGACCCCTGAACTTGCCCTGAGCCCCATCCCACCCTCAGCCCCTTGGGTTGAATCAAGACAATACGTGTAACTAGATGGACTCCCCATTTGGAGATGTTTTCAGCCAAGGCAGCGTGTGAGGGAAGGGTTCCCCCAACGTGGTCAGTCTAGCCTGTGGGGTCAGCGAGCCAGGAATGGTGTCCTTCCTTGAGACCCTAGTTCGGGAGCTGTGTCTGGGGGAAGCGGACACCTGTGACTGAGGCCCGGGCGGCCAGAGCCTGTCCTGGCTCTCCCGTCCCAGCAGCCCGTGGCCCGGCCATGCCCCCTCACCTCGTCCCGGAAGTTAGACTCCTCCCTGCCCAAGGGGACCAGCCGGATCATGCTCAGCACTGAGGTCCCCACTGGTCCCCACAAGCAGCGGTCCTGGTCGCTCTTCAGAGGAGACGAAGGACAGGAACCAGAGAAGGACTTAGAGTTGCTTGCCGCACAGAGGTCGGCTTTCCGAGCCCTAGCGCCCTCCAGGCCCCTCCCTTCCCGCCTCCCCCTGCCTTCCCGCCTTCCCCACGGGGCTCACAGTCCTCGAGGGCATCTGTCCTCTCCTTGGGCTGGGACCTCCTGACCTGAAGCAAGTGTCCCAGGGCTGAGGGTCCAGCCTGAAGGGACGTAGCCTGCACTCATTTCTTCAGGGTGTCCTGGAAATGGGCAGGGGCCAAGGGAGAGGAGGGCTCAAGCCCAGCAGGGATGGAAGCAAAGGGAACACCCCCTGTCCCTGCCCCTCCCGAGCTTAAAACAAGGCCGGGGAGATGGGCAGCTGCCCCCTGAGAGACCCCTCCCCTGAGGCCCAGGGAGCCATCGGGCTGGCTTCTCTGCGGGTACGTGGACATGGGGTTGGGAGCTGGGAATCTATTTTTTGTATTCTTATGTTTTGTGCTACTGTAGTTTTGGTGTGGCACTATTGTAACTGAAATAAATGACTTGTACCGAGCGCCACGTGACTGAGTACGTGTCCTGCGGGGGCAGTCCTCTGAGGCTGCGGGAGGGCCCCTGGCCAGCGCAGAGCTGCCCCCACCAGCATGTGCCCCAGGGCCAGAGCAGAGGCCTTGGATGCTGACAAATTCCAGAAGGTTACTCAGTGCCCGTGCCCATCGGTCATCCACCATCATGATCACGTGAGCACTCCCTCCTAGTGAGAACGATGCATGTCACCCCCTGTGCCCAAGGGGCATCCTAGAAAAGTTAAATTTTCCATTATCTTGGAGCAAAGGGTGTCAGCAGTGGGTTTCCAGGCCTCAGATGCTTGGCAGGGCAGACACTAAATAAATTCAAAGAAGTTCAAGGAAAAGTCTGACATACACTCATGCCTCCTTCTGAGTTTTGCGTATATTCTTCCTTCTCCCTAGAATGTTCTTCTCTGATTTCTCTGCATGATAAACTCCAACTCATCCTTCAGTGCCCAGCTCAGCATAACCTCCTCTAGGAAGCCCTTCCTGACCTCCAGTCCTGATCAGGTAGGATCACACAGGCTTCGCTCTCCTACCAGAGTATATTAGTGCCAGGGCCTGCTGTAACAGACTACTACAAACTTGGTGGCTTACACAACAAAAATTCATTGCCTCACAGTTCTGGAGGCCAGAGTCCAAGATCGAGATGTCAACAAAGGTGATTCCTTCTGAGACATGGGAGAGGACCCTATTCCAGGCCTGTTGCCTAGCTTCCAGCAATTTGCTGGCCATCTCTGGCACTCCTTGGCTTATAGAAGCATCATCAATCTCTGTCTTCATCTTTGCATGGTGTTCCCCCTGTGTATATGTGTCCAAATCTTACCCCCTTTTTATAAGGACACCAGTCATATTGGATCAGGGCCCACCCGGATGACCTCATTTTAACTAATTACATCTGCAGTGATCCTATAAGATCATATTCTGAGGTACTGAATATCTTCAACATATGGATTTGAAGGGACACAATTCAACTCGTAACACAGAGGTTCCAATTCTCTAGGCTGTGAAGGTGCCTGTACCATCTCCCATAGCCCAGTGCCTGGCATAGACCAGCCATGGAGTAGGGCTCAGTGACTGTTGGATAAGTAGGTGGGTGGGTGGAAGGATGGATGGATGGATGGATGGATGGATGGATGGATGGATGGGTAGATAGGTAAATGGGTGGGCGGGTGGACAGGTAGATAGGTGGATGGATGGATGGATGGATGGATAAGTGGACGGATGGAAGGATGGCTGAATGGACAGATAGTCATGAGTAATATATCATTCAGGGAGCCATCCCCCAACACACTAATGCCAGCGAGAACAAGCCCAGTGAGCTGGAGTGACCAGGGAAAACTTGCTGAAGGGCAGAGACTTCAGCTGAGCCTTGACTGAAGGGAGAGAATTGGTGTTCATACTCTGAACTGGACAGAGCGATGACCTAAGCAAGCACCTATTCAAGGAGCAAAACTCTTCAACCTGCCTTGCTTTAAGAGGAATAAGTCATTTCTCTTAGACTCCGTTTCTCTAGCTGTAAAATGAACATTTATCCACAAATATTTATTTACCCACAAATATTGGGGAGATATGTGGATGCTTGAGAGACAGTGATGCACTTTGAACCCTTCAACATTCACACTAGGTGTGTGCCTGCCCCAGGTGTACATGAGCTCCATAGCCCAGTATCTCTCACCTGGACAGCTCGGCCTCATCCCCTCCAACTACCAGGAGAGCGATCTGTTTAAAGATCACATCACTCCCCTTCACTGCATTTATTTGGCCTAGGACCTGGACTCTGGCCACACTGCCCCCGCCGGGGCTTCCCCTTGAACCTCCTTTCTGCACCTCAAACAGCTCATGTCCTTCCCTGCCTGTCCCTCAGATTAGAATATCCTCCATACGCCCTTGCCAATGAATAAATGAATGAACACATATTTTCTTAAAGCTTCCACACGTGTGCCTACGAGAGTCAGGCTGTGTGCCGCGTCCTTACACCTCCTCTCCTTGAATGCTTACAGCAATTTTCTTTTTTCTTTTTTTTTTTTAATGTTTTTTATTTATTACTGAGAGAGAGAGAGAGACACCATGAGCAGGGGATGGTCAGAGAGAGAGGGAGACACAGAATCTGAAACAGGCTCCAGGCTCTGAGCTAGCTGTCAGCACAGAGCCCAACATGGGGCTTGAACTCACAAAGCATGAGATCATGACCTGAGCTGAAGTCAGACATTTAACCAACTGAGCCACCCATGTGCCCCTTACAGCAATTTTCTAAGACAAGTGCTTTAGCACCCAGGTCAGAGGGGAATGAATGGTGGCAGAGCTGAGTTCTAAACTCAGACAGCTGGCAAGGAGCTGCCTGGGAACATATGAGAGGCTCCTAAGGAACAGTGATGGCCCGGGGACCACACACACACACACACACACACACACACACATACACACACACACACACACACAGACTGAGGTGCCAAAGAGAGACTCCATTTTCCCCTGCAGAGGGCTGCCTTCCTGTCACTCCCCTTTTCCCAGTGACCTGGTGAACAGGCCCCTCCTCCCGCTCCCCTGCTCTGAGCCCTGGGGCCCCCAGCTCCTCCCCTTCCTTGTGGCAGCAGGTCTTCCCCCTCAGCTCAGTGCAAGCCCCCACCCCCAAGCAGGAATTAAAACCCCTGACCCTACAGGGGTTTACCCTACGGTTGAAGAGACGAAAATACTTACCAGATGCCACTAGAATAAGCAAGTCGAAACTGTATGGGACTTGTAGCAGCGAGCAATTGTGTGAGCAAAGAGGTTCGGCAGGGGCCCTCTGGGAGGGCTGAGGACACGCAGAAGGGAGGTAAGGAGAGAACATGAGGCAAGCTGAGGGCCAGGTAGAGGCTGACAGCACTTCCCCACCCGCCCTCAGAGGTGGGACATGTGTGATTTTCCTCAGACACCCCTGGCTGCCCAAGAACGGGGCGGGAAAGCAAGCAAACGGTTGACGTCAGAAATCACAGCCATGCAGGCCAGGAGCCTCCTTCGGTTCACGGATAACTTAGTAAACTGAAAGGAAAAGACAATCTTATCCACAGCCTGTTCTCCAGAAACTTATAGACTCCGTTTCCTGGAGGCCGAATATCACGCTCCTCAAGATGAAAGGGGGTTTAGGTGCTTGCCACGGTGATGTGGGAAGCAAAGGCAAATGAAAAATGAATCCTTGAAGCAGGCAGAATGGCCTCCCTCTGGGAGCTCAGCTGCCTCGATGATGGCACTTTGCTGGGGGCAAAAGGGAATCTTGGCTTAACATTGTCCTGACACCTGACACCCCCCCCCCACGCCGCCCCGGGGACCCTGTGAGTCTCCTTAGACACAGAAAAATTCCTTTGCAAACCTCCTTTATCTTTAACCCCCAAGTATATGTTGGCAATTATACTCCAGGCATACGGCCCCTGAGGTACATCTGAAGGGTCTCATGACTGAGGTTTTACTAAACGGTAACAAATGATGTTTTCCTAACAACATCTAGCCCCTCAAGGTCCTGGAAACCTTGCTTCCAAAATACCTTAGTGACTTAACACTGTCCTTAACCCCTCCCAACCAAAGGCATGTAATCAGTCACTCTTCACACCCCCAGTGCCGCTCTTTCTGCCCACGGGTCCTGTCCCCCAGCTTCAATAAAATCACCTTTTCCCACCAAAGACATCTTCAAGGATTTCTTCTTGGCCGTCAGCTCTCATCACCCCAAAACCCCATCAGAGGAACTGGAGAAGACACTAAACTTTAAGGAATCTGGGACATTAACAAACCTAATTTCAAATGGGCCAGACCTTTACAGAGAAAACTGTAACACCTTAATGAAGAACATATGAGAAGACTTGAATAAACACAGAGGAACACCCTGGTCCTGAATGGAGACGTTCGCTGTGATACGAGGTGTTGATGTTCCCCAAGTTAATCTGTAATTTCAGTGTTTTCTCAACCAAAACCCCAAGATCATTTTTCATGGCACAGGATAAGCCGGTACACATGGAAGAGAAAATGCGCAACGGCCAAGACCATTTTGAAAAAGAACAATGAGGGAGCTGGTCTGTCAGTAGCTGTTATAAACTTATAGTAAATAATAAAGTGTGTTGCCGGTGTACAGACAGAGGAATGGAACGACTGGAATTTTTTAGAGAGCCAGAAACAATCCTCTGTATATGTGAGTATTAGCATCGGACAAAGGAAGTCCTTTAAGTCAGCTGAGAGGTGATGAACCGTGGAACAAGTGGATGTTAAGACATCCACTTGGGGAAAAAAAATGAATCTAGACCTCACCTCCCTCACACAATTCTCACACACAGTCACAGCAATAAATTCTACATGTATTAGAAACCTAAGCATATAAAAATCATAAAAGTATTAGATGAACTATAACAGAACGTGTTTATAACTTTGGGTAAGCCCAATCATCTTTTTTTTTTTTTTTTTTTTAATGTTTTTATTTCTTTCTGAGAGAGAGAGACAGATAGCATGAGCAGGGGAGGGGCAGACAGAGAGGGAGACACAGAATCTTAAACAGGCTCCAGGCTCCGAGCTAGCTGTCAGTTAGACACGGAGCTTGAACCCACGAACTGTGAGGTCATGACCTGAGCCGAAGTCAGATGCTTAACCGACTGAGCCACCCAGGCGCCCCAGCCTAATCATCTTTAAATGTTCATTTATTTTTGAGAGAGACAGCATGAGCTGGGGAGAGACAGAAAGAGGAAGACACAGAATTTGAAGCAGGCCCCAGGCTCTGAACTGTCAGCACAGAGCCCAACGCAGGGCTCGAACCTACAAACCGTGAGATCATGACCTGAGCCAAAGTTGGACGCTTAACCGACTGAGCCACCCAGGTGCCCCATAGCCATCTTTGAAAAGACACAAATAGGGGTGCCTGGGTGGCTCAGTCGGTTAAGCGTCCGACTTCACTCAGGTCATGATCTCGTGGTTTGTGGGTTCGAGCCCCACGTCAGGTTCTGTGCTGACAGCTCGGAGCTCGGAG